GTGTGTGTGTGTGTGTGTGTGTGAGAGAGAGTGTGTGTGTGTGTGTGTGTGTGTGTGTGTGTGGCCGTATGCCAACTAGAGCGGGCAAACTGCCACACTGCTACTGAAGTGAAACACAGTGCTAATGAAAGACATTTACATTCGAAAGAATGGTCTACAGCTAAAGACTCTCCAGCACTGAAGACTGAGCACAGACCCTCTCCATATCACCGTCATACTCTGCTTTAGCTGATATATAGTCTCTTTGTCAGTTTAGTATTAAAAAAAACTACTTTATTTTTTTGGCCTGTTTTGAGAAAACTGACATAAAAAGTCAAAATCATGAAATAAAAAACAATTATAGCATAAAAAGCTGAAATTATGACAGTCATAATTATGGCATGTCTCAATTACCAAAAAATCGACTTTTTATATCATAATTTTGATCTTTTATCTCATAATTTTGACTTTATCATTGTAACAAAGTTCGTAGTTAGGTGTCGCTCATTATCAATTACTCCACCGGCCTCGCTCCGTTCCCACGGCTCTTGGCCCCGCCCCCACTCGTCACAATCATAATTAGCAATTTTTTATCTCAATTATTTGTATCGCATAATTTCAACTTTTTATCTCAGAATTTATTTTTTATCTCATAATTATGACATATCTCAACATTTTGACATTTATCTCATTATGGCTTAGTATCTCATAATTGTCCAAATTTGTCTTTTTGTCATAATTATGGCTTTTTATCTCATTATTTCAACTTTTTTGTCATAATTTGACTTTTTGTCATAATCATGGCTTTTTATCTCATTATTCCAACTTTTTGTTTCATATTTATGACTGTCATAGTTGTGTTTTTATCATTTATTTTTCTCAATTTCGGCCCGTTATTATGACTTAGTATCTCAATTTTATCAAAATTAAATTTTTTATCTCAAATTTGGCCTTTTATCCCATCATTTTGGTTTCATCATTTCAGCTTCTTATCTCATAATGGAGTTTTTGTCTCATAATTTCAACTTATGTCATAATATTATGACTTACTATCTAATTTGGACATTTCTCATTCAATCTCATTTGGACATCAATCTCATTATGACTTTGTATCTCAATCAATTTTGAAAAAAAAAAACATTATTATTTTATCATCTCATAATTTTGGCTTTATCTCATAATTTCAAACATGTAATAGTTTTCTCATAATTATGACTTATTTTATAATTATGATTTATCTCGTTATGACTTAGTATCTCATAATTTAGACTTTTTATGTCATAATTTTCCAAAGCATGATTTCTTGTTCCTATGTGGCAGAAATGGGCTTCCACAGACCCGAGACAGCAGACAGAAAGAGACACTCTAGTGAAAGCTCAGAACAACCCCCACAACACGCTAACACTGAGGCACCACGGTTTTTTTACTGGCAAGAACTTCAGAAAATTAAAAAATCAGCTTATTTGTTTGTTTTTTGTACCATATTTTTGTTGTTGAGGGGGTTCAGTTTGCATCATGTTCAGGTTCATATGCGGATCAGCTTGAAACAGAGCCGTTAGCGTGAAGCGCTCCAGTGTTAGAGATCTCGCGGCGCTGGTGATTGAAAGAGCGCTGATAACGAAGGAAACACGTGTCAGGATGATCCTGAGATCATGAAAGCGTCTGGCATTTCTGCAGCTGTGTGATTGATTCAGATGATGAAGCTGACAGCCATTGTTTCCTCCAGAACTGCTCTCTGGACCGAGATGTTCATATCTCTGAGCAGACAGTAGACGTCCTCTGACCTTCAGATTTGTAAGGCTTTCACGCTGCCGCTGAAGCCTGAAGCTAAATATGGCACATGAACGCCTCGATAGGAAATTTCCTATCGATTGCCGTCTGACACACAGACTGTACCAGAAGAGAAATGCCACATTAATCAAGTGTCTTTATTGTCATTCTGTCATTCACCATCTCTTCTATTCTGTGCCACCTCTTCCTGTCTGCCACTTCCTGTTTGCACTCTTTCTTATTCTTTATTCCAGAATATCTGAATGTTGTTTCATCAGATCAAGTGTCTGTATCTGTCTCTTTTCTCTCCCGAACTTCACTTTTCTTTTCATGACTTTTAACTAAACCACTTGTCTTTTTTTTTTTTGTGCAAAACTAGATTTTTGTTTTTTGAAACCCAACAACAGTCCTTTTTTCAGTGGGAATATACATATATATATTTATATATACTGTATGTATATACTGTATATATAGGTTCTATTCATTGCTATTAAAGTGAAATAACTGAACATATATATATGACAATTACTGTATGTCACAATGTAATTGCAAATGCAATAAATAAATCGGTGCAATTAATTAATATTATTTTAATACTTTTTATTTGATTTACGAATTTGATTAGTTCTTAATATATATATCTATTTTATGTATATATATATATATATAATCTTAATAATATCTTATCTCTTCTGCTCACCAGTATCAAAAATACAGTAAAATAAATAAATAAATAAAAGATCAATAAGTCATGGCAACATATTTTTTCCCATAACTTTAACTTAAATCAAAATAATTGAACCAATTTCAACTTCATTTTTATGTTATGCAAGGATCAACTTAATTTTTTATTTCATTTATTTAACTGATTTAAAATATATTATATTTTAAGTCAATTTAATATAATTAATAATAAGAAATTAAGTTGAAATGTCTTGAACAGCCAATTTTATTCAACGTAATTTAAGGCAGCAAGTAACTACCTTACAGTGCTGTAATATTGTGAAATATTATTACAATATATTCACATAGAAAACAGTTATTTTAAATGGTAAAATGTCATTTATTGCTGTGATGCAAAGCTGAATTTTCAGCATCATTCCTCCAGTCTGCAGTTATCTAATTTCTGTCGTCATACTGTGTAATGTTTTTGGAGCCAGTGTCTCTTATTACTGTATTGTGACTAAATATCCTCTGAGTGAGTCCCATCATCTGTGCAGGACAGTAATGATGGTCCGTCAGCAGTAATAAAGTGTGTGTGTGTGTGTGTGTGAGTGTGAGTGAGTGAGAGTGAATGTGAGTGAGTGAGTGTGAGTGAGTGAGTGTGAGTGAGTGAGTGTGAGTGAGTGAGAGTGTGTGAGAGTGCGTGTGAGTGAGTGAGTGAGTGAGTGTGCGAGTGAGCGAGTGTGCGCGTGTGCGCGTGAGTGAGTGAGTGAGTGTGCGAGTGAGTGAGTGAGTGAGTGAGTGTGTGAGTGAGTGAGTGAG